CCACGACCAGATAAAGAGAATATTACACATATATACAAAGGGATACTACTAACCACTAAGAAGAATGGCATAATGTCATTTGCAATAACCTGGATGGAAGGAGATTGGCGGTCATTATTCCAAGGGACATAAGTTAGGAACCCAGCACTAAATATGACATGTCCTTAATTTTGAAAGGGAGACCAGCACTGGGTGTGTATGGTCACACAGGTGACTTAATGGACACTGGAGACTCACAATAGGGGTGGGAGATGAAAAGTTAGATTCTGGGTACCTTGTACTCAGGTATAGGATAACAATATATATAAGCCTAGATGCCTTCTGTATGAAATTCAGCCAAGTACCAAAACCCCTTGTACCCCTTTAGTCTTTTATTTTCTTTTGGAGTGGCTGCTTGTATTAATCACCGAGCATTTAATAGGTGAGTTCATCTTTCTGTGCCATTAGTTGGGGTAAGCACTGAGGCAGTTTACAACCAAAGACACATGACAGTCATGCCCAGAACAGTGAGCACGTAGCTGGGGACTTAGAATGAGGCTGGACTTGGCAGGTGGCAGATTATACACATCCCTATACACCAGGCCGGGGACTTTGCTCCTAAGTATTTTGGGAGGGGATTGACCAAGCACACAGGATGCTGGGAAAGGAAAAGTCCCAGACAGGAGGCCCCTTAGGGGGGTCTGAGGGTGTCCAGGAGGGCAGCTGGGGGGCTGCTGGGGAGCTGGTGTTAGGTAGGCTCAGGATAAACTCCATGGGCACAACTCCTGGGACCTGGTGAAGACAAGGGGTCCGGGAACGGTGACCTTTGGGACCCTGGAGGGTGGATGGTGCTGTAAGTGGCTGGTGATTCCAGGAGAAGTGTAAGCACCCTCTGGAAATATCTCTTTATACATGAAGGGGCGTCTCTGGGAGTGTTCTAGGCAGGTGGCCCATCTTGGAAGCTGAACTGGTGGTAGTGGAGGCTCCACCAGCCCGAATAAAATGACTGAGAGAGAGCAGAGAAGGGGCAGGATGAGATCCTACTGCAGGGCCGCGTGTAAGGGACACGGAGCCAAGAAAGAGCCTGTGAGAGGGCACATTTGGGCTGAGTCCTGAGATAAGAAGGAGCCAAGTGAGGCAGGACGAGAGGGACAGAGAGCACCAAAGGCCCCTACAGAAGTGACCACCAAGTCCTGCCGGAAAACTGCACTGGGCAGGGTGGGGACACAGTGAGCAGCCGGGTGCACCTGCAGGGTGGGGAGAAGCAGGGCCTGCAGGGAGAGCCAGGCAGGCAGGGGCAGCATCCCGGTGCAGAGACGGGGTGTGCTGCTCCCATCACACTCACCTTGGGGTCTCACTAGAGGCAGTAACTCTGTGCAGACGTCGCGGGTGCCGAAAAAGTTCGTCTTCATGGTCATGTGCGCTTGAACATGGAAGGGCGTGGGGTCACTAGCTTTTAGGGGAGAAGGAGAGCAGAGGTAAATTAGCCTTGGGGCTAAATTCCATAGGATGAGAGCAATACACCCCGCAAAAAATAAAGCGTGTCAGGATTCTGGTGAATTGGGCCCTGGAGTGTGGGTGGCCCCGTCGCAGTATATGGCCCAGGCCAATCCCCTGGTTTGAGAACGTTCCTCTCGGTACTTCTGACAGGTGGTTCCACTGGTGAGGGTGGGTGAAACGTGAGGGCTGCATCTCCCGTGTCTATTTTTATTTTCTTTGTTAATGTTTTATCTGTCAGTCTAAAGTTCTTCCATACTGTCTAATTTCAGAAACCCTGGACAAGAAACCCAGGGTATCGAAAGTTTCTGAAACTCTAATTTCAGAAATTTTGGATACCCTGAACAAGATCCCCAGGTTTCTGAGCCAGGGCACCACCAAGTTCCCGTCCTCCGAAGGACCCTTCCCCTCCTGAGAACTCTGCCTCTCCTGGCAGCTCCTGCCCTCCCTGTGCCCCCGGGAGCCTGTCAGGAACCTCCAGGGCCGGGTCCCCACAGCGCTTCTCTGAGGGGCGCACCCTCCTGGCAGAGGGTCTACCCCGGGTCACCTCCCCTCTGACCACAGCATTGACTTACGCTGAAAAACTATACCCGCGTTGTTGACCAGCACGTCCAGGCCCCCGTACTCCCTGCGCAGGAAGTCGCGCAGGGCGCGGATGCTCTGCGGGTCGTCGATGTCCAGCTGGTGGAAGCGCGGGCTCAGGCCCTCGGCCTGCAGCTGCTGCACGGCCGCCTGGCCCCGCGCCGGGTCCCGCGCCGTGAGCACCACGTCCCCTGAGAACTGATGGCACAAGGACCGCACAATGGCCAAGCCGATGCCCTTGTTGGCCCCGGTCACCAGCGCCACGCGGTTGCGGGACGACATAGCTGAGCGGAGCGCGGAGGTCACCTGCGTGGAGAATCCGCGGAACCTCGGTCCACGCGGAGCAGGACTAGAGGCAGAGCAGCCTGGCAGAGGAACTTGTGGGATCCAAGGTAGCGAGTGTCAGGAAACAGGGTCGGAGCCTCGGTCCCTCCCCTGTGAGGGAGGTTTCGTAACGCCCAGCTCCCGGGTCCGCCCCCGGCCCGCACTGAACTGTCTTGGATCCAGGGTCTGGGCCCAGGGAGCGCTGCTCTCCCAGAGCCTATGCAGGGTGAAGGGTCAGTGGAGGGCTCCAGATTCACGGCATAGGGACGGGGGAAATGGAGCTACAAGCCTACAGGGAGGAAGCCGAGCGCTGAGAAATTGTGTGCGGCGTGCGCGCATGGTCCACTGCGCGTAGACCCCTTCGCTGGCGCAGGAGAATTTCAGCATCGGGTGTCGGGTGAGTGACTTAACAGGTGTGTTCAGGCTGCAGGGCCCTGATTCCCAGTGCGCCCCCCGGCGGTAGGAAATGTGTACTGCGGGACACAACCTTCAATGGGAATTTTAAATTTAATCCTTCCTTAACTTGTATGACAGAAAAAGTATGAACATTTAGGTTCGTCCAAGGAAGACTGATACCTGTGTAGCTCCAGATTGATGTATATATCTTTTCCTAGTGAGTTCCGTGCCCCCACACCCAAAATCCAACTGAAACAAATTCTCAAAGGTGATTCCCAGCGTGGGCACAAAAATCAGGATACCATCTGTGTTCAGAGTGTAGGATGTAGACTCTGAGATTTGGGGAGATCTGTAGTCTTGTCATGACTCAGCTTTCCACGATGCTTGCATCTCTGTTACCCTTCACCCACCTTCTCTCCCAAGTCTAACCTGAGGGCTCTGATCTCTGCCTGCAGCTCAGCCAGTATTGTGTCCCTTTTTCCCCTAAAGTTTTAGAACCCTATCTCAGGATAGAGGGCTGTAAAGCCTTTCCATATCTTCCCAAGTGACGATAATTTGCTTTTCCAAAATACATATTTCATCTATGTTTTTGTTCCTATTGGCACAAGTTAATGTGGCATTCCCTTATTATCCTCTTAATATTGGTAATGATACTTTCTCTTTTTTGAGTAGTGTTAGTAATTTGTGTTGTATATTTTTTTCCTGATCTTCCAGGCTAATGATTTATCAATTGTTTTGATATTTCTCAAGATGCCACCTTTTCATTACACTGATCTGTTTTTCTCCTTTCTCCCCAATTAATATTGGTTTCTTTTCAGATGTTTATTTACTTTTTTTCTGTTTAGTTTGGATTTTATTTGCTGTTTTACAAGTTTCTTATGGAAGCCGAGGGCATGAATTTGGGGTAGTTCTTTTCTAATGTGGGTCTTAAGTGACATAAATTTCCTTTTAGATATTGTGTTTTCAATTTCATACGAATGGAAGTATCTTCCACTTTCCATTTTTATATCTTCTTTGACCAAGGGCATATCTAGAAGTGTGGTGATGTTCTAGCGATCTTGGTGGTGTTGACGTCACTTAATTTGTATGGTTAGAGAACTTCCTTTTGGAAAGATCTGGAAAAGCTGGAGAGCATGTTCTTATGTAATAACTGCAGAGAGGTAACAATTCAAGGAGAGAGGGAAGTAATGGGAGAACAAAGTGTGTGGGAACGCCAAGGTGTGTGGATCCAGGACACGGGTGGGGTGAGGTGGGAAGCAGCACACCTCTTCTCTGTGCAGCAGGCAAGGCAGAGTGTGTGGCTGAGATGCAAGTGTGTTAGGGAAGCTAAGGCCTCCAGGGCACCTATTATCTCTTTGAAGGATGAGACTGGAGGTCATCATTTTTTTTCTTTTTTTTTTTGAGGCAAGAGTCTCACTTTGTCACCCTGGGTGGAGTGCAGTGGGATCATAGCTCACAGCAATCTCAAATTCTTGAAGTTGAGATCCTCTTGCTTCAGCCTCCTGAGTAGCTGGGATTACAGGCATGTGCCAGCATGCCCTGCTAGCTTTTTGTATTTTTGTAGAGATTGGATCTCCATGTTTGTCTGGCTGCTCTTGAACTCCTGAGCTCGAGCAATCCACCAGCCTCGACTTCCCAGAGTGCTAGGATTACAGGCATGAGCCACTGTGCCCAGCCTTGCAGGTCATCATTGACAGGGTAGACTTGAGGAAAGAATAGCCGTTTTGCAGATAGGGAAAGTAAAGGTATGAGGGAAAACAGAAAGTTGCAGAGGAGGTAATCTCTGTAGGAGAGGGAAAGACTTTAAGACTACCTTCCCAGCAGGTTGTGAAAGCTGATGCCTGTAATCCTAGCATTCTGGGAGGCTGCAGTGGGTGGACTGCCTCCGCTGAGGAGTTGGAGACCTGCCTGAGCAAGAGAGAAGCCCTGTCTCTTAAAGAAAAAAAAATAGCTAGATGTTGTGGCTTGTTGTCTCAGCTGCTCTGGAGGGCAAGGCAAGAGGATCTCTTGAGCCCAAGAGTGTGAGGTTGCAGTAAGCTAAAAGGCAAGGACACTGTGCCCAGGGTGGCTTAGTGAGACTCTGTCTTAAAAATAAATAAATAATAAATAAATAAGTGAATGAATAAATTATAGTACCTGCCAAGTGTTATACAGGAAAAGGGTGGTCTGTAAGAACAGGATTTTAAAGATGATGAAACTGTCTTGTTATACAAGAAACCTTGCAAATCTATCACAGGTGTCATTTCAGTTGACAAAATGTGGCCAGAAGCTCATAGGAAGTGAACCCTGTATTTCCCCTAGCCGTTGTAGTTTAGTACTCTCAAATTCCATGTTCATAGTAATTTTATAGACATAATTATGGTGACTAATGGGGATAAATTTTTTCTGGCATAGAGCCTGATATTAAAAACATTAGCTCATAGAAATCTTGATATTAAAATGAAAAATTAATAGAAAATAAATTTCTCACTTAAAAAATTAAAGACTTTGAAGTTCGATGTAAATTCAATGTCTAATTTCTTCCACCAGGCTTTAGGTCTTTAAGACTGTATAATATAGAGAAAATACAGTAACCTCCTCCATCAAGGCCCAAGTTCATTGACCTCAGGGCCTCCCATTGACTTCAGTGTGGTGTACAAACATCAGCATATCTGTGCTAGAGATGAGGAAAACTGGGACATATGACAACAGACAGTTGAGAACTTCAAAAGCCTAATGACCATCCTTACTGCAAGGATTAAATATCCACCTGACAGAGTGCTGTCCAGCCAGGAAAGAGAATGAGGCAGCGGTGAGCAGAGTGAGGGGGAGAGGCTTCAGTGTCTTGGGGGGACGACATACCACACAGTGTTCAGTAGCTTAGCTTTCCCACTGATTCTCAGGAAAAAGAATTATATCAAAATGGAGTTAGGCTTGCTTCTCTTTCACCTTAACACTACTATAGTATACTGCTATTTGTATAAAAATATTCGTTTATTTAAGCACACTTTCTTTGGAAGGGCATATGAAGTGAAAAGTACAGTTGCTTCTGGAAGAGCTGAGTGGCTAAGTGGTTGGGGAGGCTGACTTCTCACTGTATAGATGCTTCAATCATTTGGATTTTCAATCAGCATGTGTGTTTTTAAAATGATTGAAGACATTTTGAAGCTCTTAAACTGCATGGCAGCGGTTCATTAGTGCTGTTAGTCTTCATTGGTATCTGAAATACATACAACATTAAGTAACTTTAAAAAATGATGTGCAGGCTGGCGCCTGTAGTTCAAGTGGCTACAGGTGCCAGCCACATACACCAGAGCTGGCAGGTTCGAATCCAGCCTGGGCCTGCCAAACAATGACAACTACCACCAAAAAATAGCGGGGTGTTGTGGAGGGTGCCTGTATTCCCAGCTAGTCTGGAGGCTGAGGCAAGAGAATCGCTTACGCCAGGAGTTGGAGGTTGCTGTGAGCTGTGATGCCACATACCCCGGCCTGCTGGGTTCGAGCCCAGCCTGGGCCTGCTAAACAACAATGACAACTCCAACCAAAAAATAACTGAGGGTTGTGGAGGGCACCTGTAGTCATAGCTACTTGGGAGGCTCAGGCAAGAGAATGACTTAAGCCCATGTTTGAGGTTGCTATGAGCTGTGACACCAGGGCACTCTACTGAGAGTGACATAATGAGACTCTGTCTCAAAAAAAAAAAAAAAAAAAGGGTGCATATGCAAAATGCAGGGTTGAAAGAAGCTTAAGTTCTCAGGAAGACTAAATAAAGAGCAAACCAGGGTAAGTGGCAGGGGTTGGTAAACAGCCAGGGGTATATGTAAAGAGAGGGGAAAGGAGAAGCTAGTTTCCTAATTTACATAGTCAAAGAGTTTAATCATTTCCATCTGTTAACTCTTGACTGTGTAGGTCTAGTCCTGCCTGTCTGCGTGCCTCTGGGTTGTTTTCCTCTTTTGTGGTTTTAAAGAACCCCCAGGGATTGTCACCTGTGGGCTTTTCCCTGGATACCCCAAAATTGAGGTAGGGCGCTGAGAAGTCAACCTATCTACCTCCCACATGACGTCTCTATTTTTGTGTCCCTACCATGTTGTTTTGATCACTATAGACTTATAACCTGAAATCTGGTAACTTGATGCCTCCAGATTTGTTTATATTTCTAAAAATTGTATCAGCTATTTTTTTTTTTTCTGGTTCCATATGAATGAAAGTACTGTTTTTTTCAAGTTCTTTAAAGTATGACATTGGTGCTTTGATGGGGATTGCATTAAATCTATAGATTGCTGATTGGGAAGTAGGGACATTTTAACAATGTTGATTCTTTCCACTCACAAGTATGGTACGTTCTTCTATTTGTTAATATCTTCTGTTATTTCTTTTCTCAGGGTTTCATTGTTCTCTTTATAGAGATCTTTCACATCCTTTGTTAGACATATTCCCAGATACTTCATCTTCTTTGGCACTACTGTCAAAGGAATAAAGTCTTTGATTTTATTTCCAGCTTGACAGTTGTTGGCATATGCGAGGGCTACTGACTTGTGGGCGCTGATTTTGTATTCTGTGGTCTCAGAGTTTTCACTCAGCCT